TAGAGAAATAATACCATCTGAAGGAATTTAGCAATTTGGTGTTAGGAAAGGTCATAAAGTCGATAATCGTTGTTAGAATCTTTATCTCTGTTGCTTTGGCTCTTCGGATATGTGCCAATTTTAGTATTACGTATATAACATATGTACTTGATAGATATTTGTTAATTTGAAGAGTGTGTTATCTGCCATTTTGATAAGATTTACAACTATTGTTATACATGTACATTTTGAGTTATAAAAGACTATTTTAGAGTTTCTCAGGTGAAGATAAAGTGTTGTACTGAAAATTAAACAAAGCAAGTTTTAATAGTTAAGCTATTTTATTTTTAAGAGTATGTAAATGCCTAACTTTAATATAAGTAATTTCCAGTTCAAATGTTTTCATTTTTTAAGATATCGATTGTAGGATATTTTCTACTGTGACTAGAATATGAACTAAATGTCAAAAAGTAATGTTACCAGTTACTGTTTTTTAGAGCCATCTCAAAAGTTTTTACTTATCTAACTTTTCTTCTTTTCTTTGTAAAACTTGCTTGTTATACAGAATATATATGCATGGAAAATAATCTTCTCTTGGCAGATTTAAATTTTTTGATAATGTTAGGAATTTTTAATAGAAAAATAATTTTTTTCATTCTAGAAAATAAATCAAGACTTGTTAAATTCTTTAATTTATTGTATCTATTTTTTTCCTTAGAAATCATTTTGTAGGATTCATTTTCTGCACTTGAGACACACATTTGTTTTGGGTTTTTACAGTTTCCTGGTTTGGATACACTTTTTAATCAATGACAAAACATAGATGGATAATTTAGTCAAAATCTAGGCACATCTTTTTATTGTTGTATCTACTATGATACTTTGTACAAGTTTCCTAATTTTGATCTTAAAAGTTACTCTAATTCTTATCTCTTTCTCAGGATATCATGAGGATGCTAAGATAAGCAAAAGATAAAGCACATTAAAAAATAAAACACCATGTTTTAAAGCTATTCATTGCTTTATGTGCTCTAATGTCATGTTAGTTATTTCATATGTTAATGTGTACATGCTTCTGAAGTGTGTGCAGGCATTCGGCCTCTAGCTTTGTTCTTTGCAGTGTACCTGAAATGTGCATTTACTCCAATAGAACTGCTCACCTGTCATGTGGTCCATATCTGTGTAACGAGAGATACATAGATGTGTATGGCTACTGTATATTTGTTAGCAAGCGGAATGTTCATTACTAATATAAACTAGAAATTATGGTATGTTTGACATCCCAATAACTATTATTCATAGCAGAGGGTTAATTTTAAGTGATTTTTCATGTATTATAGTACTGCCAAATCTGTCGAAAAGGAGACAATGAAGAACTGCTTCTCCTTTGTGATGGCTGTGACAAAGGCTGTCATACATACTGCCATAGACCCAAGATTACAACTATACCAGATGGAGACTGGTTTTGTCCAGCTTGCATTGCTAAGGTAAAACTGATCTAAGACTAAACTTTTCAATCACTAAATCAAAATGTAGCGTTTTATGGAGGGTTTTTTTTGACATGTAATTCACATACTATAAAAGTCACCTTTTTAACAATTCAATGGTTTTTAATAGATTCGCATAGTCATGCAACTATCACCATTATCTAATTCTGGAACACTTCATGCCTCAGAAAGAACCCGTTAGCAGTCATTTCCCAATTCCTTTTCTTCTCCCCCCACCCTTTTCATCCACTAACCTACTTCCTGCTCTGTGGATTTATCTATTCTGATCATTACATACAGATCGAATCAGACAATAGGTGGCCTCTTGTGCCTTGCTTCTTTCACTTAACGCAATGTTTTCAAGATTCATCCGTGTTCTAGTATATTTCAGTACTTTTTTATAGTCAAATAATATCCCATTGTATGTATATACCCATTTATTTTATCCTTTTGTCAGTTGGACGTCTGGGTTGTTTCCACTCCTTAGTTATTGCAGATAATTCTGCTGTGAACGTTCACACACAAGTTTTTGTATGTTTTCAGTTTATACATGTACCTAGGAGTTGAAGTGTTAGGTCATATGGTAATAAGTCCTTTTCCAGTTAAATTTAAAATAGAAATCTGCAAACTGTTACACCAATTAAGAGAGAACCAATATGATAAAATAGAAGGAAATGGCTTTTGGGATTATAAGGGAAGGAGTAAAAACAGTAAAAAATTTCAGCATGTACTAAAGACCAGAGTCTTTCCTAGGTATTCCCTACCTCACTCACACTCTCCCCTATTTAACCTCTTGACCTAATTACTACCAGTAACTACTGCCTCTGCATAAACTCAATTTAGACATTCATCTGTCCACCCGCTCCTTTCTTTTCAGTTCACTCCTTCACCAAAACCATCGATTCTTTTTTGTTGTTGTTGCAGTTTGGCAGGGGCTGGGTTCAAACCTGTCATCCTTGGTATATGGGGCCAGCGCCTTACCCACTGAGCCATAGGTGCCACCCGAGGACCTTCAATTCTTTTATCTTCATACTTTTCATTGTCACTCTCCTCCTTCTGTCCTCTCTTTCCTTTATAATGTATCAGTCTCATTATCATAATCGTTGCATTAGGTCCTTTGGCTCTCTCTAACTTGGTAAAACCATCTTCCTGGTTAATCCAACTTTCTGGTTTTTTCCAGCACCTGTACATTTGTATCTAAATGTGGCTTTGGAAAACACCCAGTCCTTTAAATTCAAGGCATTAGGAAGGCCCTTAGTGATGCTGATGATTTACCTCCAGCTCTGTCTCCTCTATCCTTATTTTCAGCTAATGACCTTACTCTCATTCTACTGAGAGAATGCAAGTCGTTATAGAAGAAAACATCACAAGATCTTGCGACCACAGCTACTGTCCTTCTGCATCTGCACTCACATACTTTATCTCTTTTAGTGTTGCCATGAACTGCTAGTGCTCCTAACTAAGCCAATTCCCCACTTATGCCTCAGATCCCATCCCCTCTTACCTCTTTACCCCAGCAGTGCTCTCTTCTTCTGTGCCATCAATTTTTCCTTCTCCCCTGGATTCCTCTCATCAGCCTACTGACATGCTACTATTTCTCTTATCTTAAGAAAACTAAACAAAACCCTCTTCTGGCCTAATTTCTCCCTTCACTCATTTCCTTCATTTCTCTCCTTTCATTTATAGAAAAATGCTCAAAAAGTTTTTTGTTCAGGTTCTCTAATTTCATTTTTCTGATTCACTCTTGAACTCAGCTAGTTAGATGAACTTCTCTTCAGCTTCTCTAAAATTGCTCTTCTCATAGCCAAGAGTGACTTTTCTCAATGCAGTGGTCAGTGCTTACCTCATCAGACCTGTCAGTTGTTTGACAGAGTTGAAGACCCCCTCCTCCTTTCAAAACCCTGCTTTTCACTTTTTTTTTTTTT